GAGTGCTTGAGGAAATGATGCTTTGGGTAGCAAGTAATTAAGAGGAGGCTGTTAGCGCTATTAGAGCAACAAGTGAAACTGCAGGTCAGCTAGTTTATCAGAGAGAAGGAGGTAAAGTGACAATTAAGAAGAGCAAATATTAAAGACAGGCTTCAAAATGTCTTCTCAGAGCTCAAACATGATTGACCAGACAAAGAGCACTTATGCCATGAAGTAGTGCCAGAAACAATAGAGCGACTAGCCAGCAACTGGGAGAAGCTACAGATATGATACCTAAGGAAGCAAGCAGCTTAGCAGAGAAACCAAGGAGAGTCAGAAAAAGCCCTATTAAATCACTATCATCCCAGGGTGACTGTCCACATGTCCAGGATATTTTTCTCTGAGGAACTACACCAGAGGATTTGCATTGCAGAAGTAGTAAGTTCGATTAAAATAGTACAGCCAAATCATTGTACACATAAACAAGCACACAACTACAAAAAGGAGCCCCAGAAGATAAAGACAAGGGAAAATTAAATACAGAACCTCAGAGAAATGTTGGACCTCATTAAGTACATTCATATATGCATAATAAGAAAACCAGAAAAAGAGAAAGAAGCAGAATGTATTCAAAAAATAATGGCTGAAACTTTTTAAATTTGATGAAATATATTAATCTATATATCCAAGAAGTTTAACTCCAAGTAATATAAACACAGATTAATTGTAGTAAGAATGCTTGAGAGAAAGGAAAATTCTAACATTAGCCAAAGAAAAATGTCTTGTCACACAGAACTGAACGCTATGAAGTTTAATATCAGGCATGTGATCCGAAGGCCAGAAGGCAGTGGGATGTCATGTGCACAAAGGAAGAGCTCTCAACCAGGGTCTGAAATTCAGCAAAGCCGTGTTTCCCAAGTAAAAATGAAATAGACATTCCATAGAACAAAACGAAGAGGGTTTGTTGCTAGCAGACTTGCCTTACAAGAAATATTAAAGGAAGGACTTCCTGATGTCCTGTTATCCTATACACTAATCTCAGTCCACACCAAAAGTGCACTGATAAATTACGTAAGTGTGAATGGGTATAAATCCACATTCTTCTTTTCTTATTTAAAAAGCAATTGCATAGAGCAGTATTATATAATTGTACCGGTGGGTGTAGAGCACACACAAATGTGGCATTTTTACAATAACAGTACGATGGAGGTTAGATGAGAACAAAGGAATTCTGGAGTGAGAAAATGGTACCAGATGGCAGCTTGAATCCATTGATCCAAAAATGGTAAATAAGAAGGTTCATGTAAGAAAATCTATGACTATATACTTACTCTTCTTTTGCTTAGCTTCTTCAATATACATATAATTATAGGTAATAGTCATAGTGATGTATTGTTAGGTATGTTATACATATATGTAAATGGACAGAGAGAGATAATATGTATAACAATAACAGCACAAAAGGCGAAGAATGGATAGAGTCACTTAGGAGTAATTAAAGAGCTTATTTAATCAAGTTAATACAAATCAGAGGCAGATTCCGATAAATGAGCTGACTAGAGATAGAGGTGTGCCAGGAAAGCTCCAAGGACAGCCACCTGATGATACAGGTGTTCTGAAACAGCGAAGGCAAATACACTCAGCTAACACAGAATTACCATTAAAGGGAAATTCATTAGACTGATTCCAATACCAGAGCGATCGAGAAAGGAAAGCAGGACCAGCACTGGCACAGCATCCCTTACTATGCAAACACATAGTCTTGGGTATGGTTCTAACGTCCCAAAGGAAGGATTCAGCTCTGCAGAGAGCAGAACTGTAGGGTACACTCCACACACTGTCCTTCCCACTGAAAAAGGGAACCCACTGTGGGAGATAACCGCAGACATGGCTGGAGGGAGCCACAGACTGCAACCAGTGAAACATAGTGCAGAAAAGGAGCGCCAGAAGCACTAGAACAGGCAACCCCATTCCCCAACCCTGCTCCACTTGGGAGCTCTGTCCTACTCCAAAAGAATGGCTCTCATCAAGAAATCAAACACCAAATCTTGGGAAGATAGCTGGGGAAAGAGGAGCCTGGTTACATTGTTGGTGGAGATATAAACTAGTACAACCACTGAGAAAATTAGTATGGAGCTTCCTGAAAAAATTAAAATTAGACATCCATTGGACCCAGCTATTCCCCTTCTAGGTATCTTCCTTCCCCTGTGTTAAAGACCTCTTATCACAGTGATGCATGCTCACCCATGTTTACAGCAGCACAACTCGTATTTCTTGGAAGGGCCTATATGCCCATCAAGAGATGACTGGAAAAAGAAAATGTGTTATTTGTATACAACAGAATACTACTCAGTCATAAAAAGGGTACATGTGAATCATTTATAGGAAAATGGATGCAATTTGAGATCACAATATTAAGTGAATTAAATCAGATGTACAAATTTAAATATCATATTGTTTCTCTTATAGGAGAAAACCAAATATAAATAATTCAAGAGCAAAATAAATGGTGAATAATAGGAATCCATTTGCAAATGGGAACGGATCTAGAGACGGAGAGAGGTGAAGAGCAAAGAGGGAAAGAGCGATAAGAAGAAGTAAGAGGTGCTGTGTACATGCACTCCCTCAGTGAAAGCAGACGCTAAGCACTGCACACACGAATAAAACACCAACTCACACGCGGCGCGGCCACTAAGGAAAAGCTCAAAAAGCGTAAATTATCACGAATGCATCTTAAATGCATACTAGAAAAACTCACTTCATATAAAGAGCAATAAAGGAGGGACAGAAGAGTAGCAGTAAGAAAAAGACACATATTTCTCCGGTACCGGGAACCGAACTCACGACTTTGCGCTTGCCAGGCAGGCGCTTTTGCCGCTGAGCTAAATCCCCAGCCCCGAAAATGTAAAGTTAAACGACAAGCAAATGTAACAGTCAAAACTAATATCAGATGTTAATGGGTTAAGTAACTCAATAAAGGCAAAGCATTGGAAGCCTGAACTAAAAGCAAGGCAAAACAACATCGAACTATAAGCTGTCTACAGAAATGTGCTTTAGATTCAAAATAGAAACAGAATTGAATACAAAACAATGGCAAAGGATACAGCTTGTGAACAGCAAAGGTAAGAAAGCTGGAATGGCTATACTAGTATCTAACAAATGAAATAAATATAAGTGAATGGTTAAAATGTTACCAGAGATGTGACAGTCATTTTAAAATGATAAAAAGATAATTTAAAGAGAAAAAAATGTATAAATGTACGTACACTTAATAACAAACCCCTCAAATGCATAAACATTGGATACTGAAAGTAGAAATAAAAAATCTGACAATAATAGTGACACTACCTTCCTACCTTTAAAACTAAGAAGAAATAGGCCACATGCTATCAAGGAAATGGAAGGCTGGAACCGTACTATAAAACAATGAGACCTAACAGGTGTCTATAGAACACAGCTCCCAAAACAACAGAATACTCCACAAGTGCATGAAGAGTATTCTTCAGGACCAACTAGGTACTAAGCTATTAAATACAGGCCTCAACACGTTTAAAATGATCGATATTATATAAAGTATGTTCTCTGGCCACAATGAAGGAAAATCTAAATCAATTACAAAAATTTGAGAATTTGTACACACTGCTAAATAACCACTGGGTCAAAAAGAAATCATGAGGTAAATTAGAAAATATTTTGACATGAATGAAAATAACATCATTCTAAAACAAACAAAACACACTAGAGAAAACTAACAGAATCAAATTTGGGTTCTTTAGACAGGTTAACAAAATTGACAAGCCTTTATTTAGTTAGACTGACCAACTCAAAAAAGTAGATGCAAATTATCTTAATTGAAATACCTTATGAGAACACTACTTGATCATCGTGCATATTACCATAAACTACACGCACCTGTACATGTGTAAGATATGTGGAAAGACAACTCAGCTTTGTAAACAAAACCCACCTTACATCAAATTTCAAGAGTTGGAAAACTTGTCATTTATCTCAAGTTAACTCCCTCCCCCACTTTTGCTCTAGAAGGCTCCTTGACCAATTTCAGGGTCCACTGCCCATAATATAGCTTAGTTTTCTTTGCAATCCAGTTACCCAAAGTAGATTTGAGATCAACTATTTACACATTTGTTGATGGAAAAATTACCCCTTCAAGTTCATTCCAACAAATGCATACTATCAAATGTACTCTGAGTCTGTGGTACCCACCTGTGACATGAAAGGTTTTCTCTTTATGTGTGTGTGTGTGTGTGTATGTGTATGTATAGATATATATATATATATGGATATGAAACCTCCATGCAATTTCACTGATGGACACCATGATCTGAGTGAAGTAGTTCATTTCAGAAAATAAATTTGATCCTTTCCCCAAAATGGAGGGTGAAATATGGTAAACTAGATACCACCCTGAAAGTGATTGCTTTAGCTTTTGTTGTCTATTTTGTACATCAGGGAGAGATGGCAGCTGTCTGCAGTTAAAGCCAGTAGGAGTCCCTTACTTCTCAGGAGCAGCCCTGCAGGAGTGGAAAGGTGAACACCTGGGGCTGTATTGGTCCAAGCTCAGAGCAGAGCATCTACAGGAGTGTGTCAGTGTCTCAGAGCATAGAGTCTATAGGAGCGCTGGGAGTGCCAACTGAATGGTAACACAAGAAAGGCTTCAGATCTTGTCTTTTGATGTTGTCAAAAAATGTCTCCAAATGAGGCTACTCCTACAACCCATATCTGCACGTGTGTGAGAACACTACTAGTCTGTGGGACGTAAACTTCTAGAGCACAATTTTCGTAACCACGCTTTGCCATTCCTTCACTGGTGAATACTATAAACTACATAAAGAAAGTATCCAGGGTTTCCATCCATCCTCAGAGGCTCTGCCCGCTGCTGTCCTCCTGTCCAGGGCCATGGACAATGCCAACCCTCTGCACACAGTACTGTCCTCACGGCCACAGCTCTAGTCCTGTGTCCTTGCTCACCCTTCCATAATAAACTTCCTTTGCTTCCATTCTCAGGAATAGTTGATGCAATTTTATTTATATTAATGTTCCCATTAATACAGGCTCTACTTAACAAATCAGAAACCTCCAAACACATACTTACCCCACCCACCTTTAAGTTGGCTCTTTTGCATCACAAAATCCCTCCAAACTGAGACTATGCTATTGAAATCAGCAGTTTTACAGCAATGATTATAACAACAAATAATATTTATTAAGTACTTGCTTTGTGCCAGGCACTCTACTGCTTCACATAAATTATCTCATTCTGCAAGTAAACATATCTTTACATTTGCTAGGAGCATTTCAAATGAATTTAGGTAAGGAATTGTTGGTCATCATTAAAAGAAATTTTTAACATAGCAAAGTGTAATCTATAGAATAAAATACTTTAACGTGTAAATAAATACAAAGTGTAGAACACCGAATTCAATAGGATACTATTAAACTTATACATCTATTTGTGAAAAATAAAGCTATCCCTGGTATGTTGTATCTACCTTCTTTTTGTTCTATTTACTTCTTACACCTTCCTCAAATTTTTAGAACTCACAGCTTCAGATTTGTCAAATAAATGTATTAGATTCATATATTTAATTAATCCTTCAAGAAATATAGAAAGTGTGTGTTATATTTTTGCATTAACTCCCAATATGTGTTTCTTGGAAAACCAGGCTGACATTAATTTCGGTATGGGTACTGAAAAATAACACGACACGTGATTTTTACTAATCTTTCACAGTATATTTTAAGCTCTAGGCTGTTCTTGATCAGAACCGTTATTTTATTATCAAGAATTACACTAGACTTTGAATGAATAAATTTTCTGTTGGAGCAGAAAATGAGGGACTACTAACACTGGGAATGTATTTTTCCTATTAATATTAATACATGATATATATTCATATTAATAACCACTCTGAAAACTAGTTTCACTTCTACACATAATCAATAAACAGTACTGCAAAAATATGAATGCTAGCAATAGTGATGTGATACATAATATGGGGTTTCTTCTGAACGTGCAGTCATCTCTACTATTTCATTACACCACGTGTACAGGCAGCTGTCTCAGATGTCCACCGAAGCTGGATTAGATGAAAAAAAACAACGCAGGCTGTGTGGGTGACCCATAGCTGCAGCTCAGGATCTTCCACTGCTCATCCAAGGGCACCACCAAACCACTGTCTTCCTCCTTTAGGCAAAAAAAGATGAATCCATTATGTTATTGACATGCACCCAGAGCAGACTGAAAGCCATTGTACATTTCACTTAGACAGTAAAAGGTAAACATTTCGTGACAAGACAATGGAAGTTACATAAACATCTTCATGCTCAAGACTGTTATCTCTGCAGTTTCCCACAAAGTCTACCATAATTGTATCTTTATGACAGAATCCATTAGTGCAAAATGTCACAGAAACACATATTTTGAACCAAGGTAAATTAATATTTGAACAATTCTATGAACAAAAACATTTGCACCTCCTCTCTAATAAAGAAAGCTTTAAATTACTATCACTAGTTTCCATGCAGTAATCACAGATGGGTAGTAACTCAAGAGCACGAAAACCATCTCTTTCTTGTCCCTAAATCATTTTGTAATTCTATTAAATATGTGCTTAAATAAAAAATACAGAATATTACACAAGACAACAGCACTGTGTGACACAATGAATCACATGCATCCCTTTTAGTTCAACAACATCTACTTGTGTTGCTAGCAACAAAAGTAGGGGAAGTGCACACTCTCGCACAGATGCCTGATGTAAACTGGCACAATGCTTTAAACATAAATATTTGTTAAAATTTAAGGGCTGGGGATTTAGCTCAGTGGCACAGCATCTGCCTGGCAAGTGCAAGGTCATGAGTATGATTCCTGGTACAGGAAGAAAAACAAACAAAAAATAAAATAAAATAAAATTTAGGATACAGATACTTTCTGACCTAGAATTATACTTCTAGAAACTTGTAACACAGATACAATCAACCAATTACACAAATATTCAATGAATAAGGACATTCATGGCAATAGAAAAATGGAAAAAATAATAAAATGGAAAAAAACTCTAGACATATATTCTTAAAAATATATTCTTATATATTAAAAATATATTTTTAGATGAATTTTTATTTCATGAGTTTAGGATAAAGCCTGTATACCAGCTATTCTCAAATGATATATTAAACTGTCTTTAATAAATTACAGTACAATGAAATACTTTAGAATTATCCATACAGAGTATGGATATGTATCTGTGCATGTGTTTGTATATGTACACATATATTTAAATGTAAATATATATATATATATATATATATATGAGTGTGTGTGTGTGTGTGTGT